TCCGAGAAAAGCCTTTGCAAGTTGGATGTTTCGGAGAAGGGAGAAAGTATTTCTCCGAGGAAGAATCACAATAGGCAAAATGTGGTCTGGTGCAAAAAAGTCCTGCTGGATATAATAGAGATAGTTCATTTGGCCTAGGACTGAGGTAGCCCTGATTCTGGTGCCTCCTTAGCCACCGCAGTTCCCTGGATGGCTTTGGGCCGGTCATTCTCTCTCCGTCCAACTAACCTCACGGGACTGTGAGTGTAGAGATCGAATGGAGATCCTTTTTCTAAGCCACTTTGAACTCCCAGAGAAAAGGCAGAAGAGAAACCTGACAAATGGCCTATATTGAAGACTATAAATAAAAATAGATCGGTATGCTTCTAACTCAGGGTTTTCCCCCTCCCCATGCTCATTTCCTTTAACATTCTGCCTCTTTTTCAGTGAGCTAGTCCTAATAAGGCCTTCATAGCTTTCTCAGATGAGCCGGACAAACTGGCTGCCTACAGAATGGACATTGAATATAACAGGGCTTATTCCCAGGCAAATGCCCACCAAATTTCAGCTTTCATTACCTTGAAACCAGGTCACGGTTCCCCTTCACAACCAGTGTTAAGGCATCTGTAAATTTCTTCTGTCTGGTGGCTCTGCTATTGAGATTTCATTTGTTTCTGGGGTTGAGAGGCGCTGCTTTATTTTTGGCTACAGGCAAATGGCCTGTTCCCGACATGACAAGTTACATAGTTTGACCCCCAGAAGACAAGTGACCAAACTGAGAACATATTACCCTGTGTCTTTAGTTGCACAGAATTTTATTACAGGTATTTATATTCAATATTAAGAAGAGCAATACTAACAACACTCCCAAAGGCCTGTCACGTACAGCTTCTCTTGCAATAACTCTACAGACATCGCAAAGCAGCAAAGGTCCCAACAGCTCTTTGGCCTCCTGCAAGTCTCCCAGCTGCATGATGAAAGTTGGCTCTCACCTGGACACCCCTGTTCCTTCCTGGGATCTCTCTCGTCTTCTGCTAAGGCCAGGCAGGGAGGATCCTGAGAAGATCAGGGTTACAGGATATTACACTGAGGGCCATAATTCCTGTGGATTGTCCCTAGTATTTATCAACCGGAGGCTTACTATCTGTGAAGGTTCCATTCTTAGCAATTGTGCTACAAAGCAAGCAGGATACTGATGCAAGAACTCTGGGTCTCTCCTTCCTCACCGGAGCAGAGGGGCACAGCTTGTTCCAACCTCGCTTCCTTCCTGTGATGTTGGGAGTGGGACCCCCAGAATTCCCAGGCAGCCGAGCCAAAAGCTGGCTGGGACTTTGAGGAGTTGTTATCCTAACCCTTGGGGAATGTGCCAATAGGGGGAAGGTTGCAATGGTGTCCCTGAGCTCCCAGCAAGGATGTGGGGAGGGGGGTGGAGGTGTGGGGACACCAGGCACTTTGGAGAGGGGGCTGGGTTGGAAGGAAAGGGTCTAACATGGTGTTGGAGTTTCTCTTCTCTCCAACCTTCACTCCCGGGCTGGGCCAGACCGCTCCCTGCTTGCAGCTGCCCTTGGAGTCTCTGGTCTGTGTCTCCAGCCAGGAGTGGCGTTTCCAGGCACTACCGTGGCATTGGAGCTGCTGCTGTCAAGGCTGCTGCTGCTGCTGCTCCTGTTTATGAGCCCCTCTTGGTTCAACCTCCCTCCCCACAGGGGCTGCCCGCAGGCGGGCTGGCACTCTTTCTCCAGCTCCTCGTCGGTGTCTGAATCTGGGGCTGTGTGTCGGCGGATCCTCGACATGGCTTCCTTCAGATCCCAGATATAGGACCGGCTTTGGGCAGAAAGCGCGGGGTGTTCTTTGCTCTGCGGCAGGCCGCAGCTTCCCGGGCATGGGGATGCTGCAGTCCCTTTCCCCTCTGGGCAGGCTGGCTGCTGCTGCTCTGCAGGCCCACCCCGGGAGTGGTCTGGGGTTGGGGGTGCAGAGGGTTTCCTGGGGCTGCCTGGCGCAGAAGGCAGCCTCCTCACCTGCTCTCTTCCAGAACTGTCCCCAGATACAGCACCACTCTCTGCAACGTGGGGCCTGGGGATCCTAGGTGCCCTGATCCCCCCCTCTGCCTCTGTGACCCCCAACTCACGCAAGGGGAGGCCCAGGATGCGAGCAGCTCGTTCCTCCATTAAGGTAGGGCCTGGAGAGCCAGGAGCGGGGGCGTTTTTTACCATACCTGCCCCTTCCTGGGGCAGGTAGCAAACTTGCTCCATTCGGGGTGGTGGAATATAGTGGGCTTGGATCACCACACAGGTGGCATCAATTACAAACAGGCCACCATGCCTTCGTGGCAAGGACTTTGACAAAGCTGGCTGACTCCCTGCCAGTTTCCTGGAGGGGCTCGGCTCCTTCCACCTGGGGAAGAAGTCTTGGCAGTGTTTCTCTTTTGCTCTGCCCCCATCCGCCTTGGGTCCACGCCAGCCAGCGGCATGGCTAAAGCCCCATCCAGCAGGGAGGGTGTGTTGGGAGGGGTGGCAGGGCATTGGCATCACCTGGTTCCTCTTATTCACCCGAGGTAGGGTGTAACTTCGGTGTTGGGGACTAATGTCCCAGCCAGGCCCCAAATGGGACGGGGACTTGGCCTTCTCCAGCTGCATCCTTGGGCCACCCCATGTTCTAGCTCCTGAAAGATAACTCCAGCTCCCTGGCACTTTAGCCTGCCACCTCCCTGCCTTCCTCCCAGGCGTGTGAGTCAAGGGCTCTGACTCACAGCCCCCTTCTCTCTCTCGGTATTTCTTAGCAGCTCCAGTCTGGATCAGCTTCCCTGCTGAATTTGACTTGCTTGCCTGTTGCTGGGGCTGCACTGTATGGTGGGGAGCCTCGTAGGAGGGAGGAGCAAGATAGGGTGGAGGACGTGGCCAGTTTTCCTTGCGTGGGCCCTGCTGTGCCCGCAGGCGCAGAAGCATGTGAGCCTCGTAGCTTGGAGGTGCCCGGACAGGGAGCTCCCTTCTGTTCTTGGCAGCGGCCCCTCGATTCCATCTGCAGCTGACCACGGGATCTCCAAATGCCAGAGCTTTAGGATCACCTTTGGCTGTGTGGCTGGCTCCCCAGCTCACGTCCCTTCGGCAGACTGGATTGTACCCGTTGTAAGGAGGGCTGTGGCGCCGTGGGGCCTTTGGGGAAGAGGCTGTCCTCTTCCCCCACCCCTTCCCTGAAAACCAGTGGCCCTCCTGCTTCAGTGGGCCCCAGCCAGCTGGAAGTTGGGCATCATGCCAATTGGTTGAATCCTGCAGCACGTGGAGACTGGGGCAATGGTGGCAAGGTGAAAAGTCAGCCATGAGTCGCTTCTCCAAGAGGCTGCAAAAGACAGAGAAGTAGACCATGAGGCTCCAGCAGAAAGGCCACCAAGAAACTGTAGCCCGTGTTGGCTACCCTGGCACAACATAGCTATCAAGCATCAGAGGCAACTTTGCCCCCAGTCTTAAGACAGCTCAGAGTCGGTCCTCTTTCTTTTGACACTCTTTTAGTTCAGCCCTGCAGCCGTGCTACTGTTCAAAATGGACAGTGGCGTTAAAAACTGCAGCGGACCATTGATCAGCCGTTGGTCCAGCTGGTTCAGTGCTCTGCCTGCTTTGTTCTAAGACTACAGGCAAGAGTTCCAACCCTGCCTGTGAAGGTACCAGAGACTAAATCTGCCACTAACTGTGTGCAAAGCAGATGTTCTACAGTTGAGGACTATGTAGGGGCTGAGTTTCTCATGTTCTTTTTAAAAAGCTGATTATGGAGCACCAACTGATAGCCAGCACAACACCCAAGTGGATTGCTGTACTATAATTCTGACCAGGATTCCCCTCCGTGCACTTTCCTACCACTCCATTTGTAATGGTAAAAAGCATCCTTTCATCCCAATGATGGCTAGATTTCCAGTCTTGGTAAATGATGGCACTGGAGGAAGGAGGGAAATAGCCTGATCAGAACTCAGAAAGAATAAGGCGTAAGCATTTCTCCCTCGTACCGTGGCCCCAGTTGGGGGTCCACTAACTTCCAAAATTAAAATTAAGAATTTTACATATTTTGAGGGTTGTAAAATAACTCATATTGCCATCTGAACTGACTTAGGGTTATTTGAAACGAGTGTTTCCAGACTTCCATTTTCTCAAGGAGTGCTGATGGAAGGGGCTAATGAGCATATAAAAGGGAGAATCTCTAGGCATGGAAGGGTTGAAACAGCCCCAAGTCTTCTAATCTCCACTGCTAATATCCCCCGCTATTAACCTGGTAACCATGCAGAACCATGTTTTCAAGATACCCAGCTTGCTTTAAATCAGACTATTGCTTGTAACTATAAGTTTCTGTATTTGACAACATTTATCATGGTAAATGCTAGTGATTGCTGCAGTAAGGCACTTCTACTTCAAAGCCTTTCTCACACTGCAATCTTAATCTGTTTGATTGGCTGGAAATGAAGCTGGCTTAAGAAATCCCTTTTTGGATTTCAGCCCTTTCCTCTCCTTTGGCCCCATGCTTACTGTGGCACCTGAGTGATGGGTTCCCCTGTGTTTTTACTCCTCCCAGCAGTGCTGGGAAGCAGACACCAACTACCTTCATTTCCATGGGTGGGTCTTTTGAGGACACGTGGTTTCCATTAATAGACCTTTTCTGTGAGCCCCCCTCCATTGACCTCATACTTAACACCTTTCCATCTGATACATCTACCAATGGACAGGGAAGGGAAGGGAAGGGAAGGGAAGGGAAGGGAAGGGAAGGGAAGGGAAGGGAAGGGAAGGGAAGGGAAGG